CTCTCTCTCTCTCTCTCTCTCTCTCTCTCTCTCTCTCTCTCTCTCTCTCTCTCTCTCTCTCGCGCGCGCGCGCGCGCGCGCGCGCGCGCTCTCTCTCTCTCTCTCTCGCTCTCGTGTCCGTCCTCAACAATACACAAATGTATAAACAAGAATCAACATCTAAAAGATCGCCCTCACTACCAGTGAAGAAAGAGCTCCTCCTTAGCCTTCTCACATTCTCCTCTCCTCTTGATATGGCAACTAGCTATGGTGGACCATCCACGCCTCACACGGATGCTCAGAGGACAATGCAACTTCCACCGTGTCGCTCGCATCTCCTACCCCGATGGGCTTTGTCTGGATGAAGTCCATGTCCAACCAATAGCCCAGCAGGGGGCTCCTTGATGCAGTCCCAACCAGGAAGATGAAGATGATGGTCCACCATAGCCAAAGGAAGTCTCCTTGTCGGTTCCCACCTCCTTCCTCCTCCTTCACTGCTACTTTTCCTCCCTCATTCACCACAGGCCCAACGTGGACATCTATCAACCATCATAGCCAAGCAACTCTCCCTCTTGCTCCTCCTCACTCCTCCACAGCCATGGAGGTCATCTTCATCACCTGCAACTCCTCCATCATCCAAGAGCTCCGCTTCACTATCACTACACTAGACAGCAGCAGGACTGCCGGGTCAATGCCCAGATTACTCATTGCAGTGATGATTGCACCGAATGATGTCCTCTTTCCTCTCAGCCTCCAGTTCGTCTACCCCAGGTACTCTCAGTCCCCCACTGGTGCACCAGGCCTACCTGAAGTTCCTGTCTTTCAGTAGGAACATCATTGCAGTCTGTAACTCACCTGCAGCCCCTGAATCTTACTCCGATACTGACTACATTCAGGCCTGGCCAACATGACCAACTGGAAAGCTACTGGACCTTTCTAGGCCTACCCGATTTACTGACACATACCTGTGGGGTCCCTAATAAATTGTCCCTAACAAATTCTTGCTTCTGTTCCTGGCTTATCTAATAAATCCGGCATGTCCTCCCCAGAGCCTACGCTTTCTCACTAACCTACCCCTGTCCGAGGCACAGAGGCACAGATTGGAAAACAGAGTGAACAACTTAACACACGGGCTTGGACTTCGGACTTAGCACTTCACACGATAACAACAGCAGCAGGCACTCAGGCTCAGCAAACACAGAAAAACAGACTCGGAATCGGAAATATGATGGAAAAAAAGACAGCATTTCCTCAGGAACGTACAAATTTGCAGACTTCCACCATGCGGGTCATTGCACATATTTGAAAACAACTTGCAGGGCATTCTCAAGAATTGGAACAATAGTAGAAACTTCTGCTAAAGGCATTTCGGCATGGCACCCAGCTTTCCTTTATTTATGCAAAGAAGAATAAGGGCAGGTCTTGCAGTTGCTATGATTGCGCAGAGTTAGCTTTAACCTAATGAAATTTATCCACTTTACAACCAAACAAGCTCATACTATTGAATCTGATCACAGTTATAACACCAGCAAGGCTTTGGTCCGAGAGATCAGGTCATGCTGAACTCTGTCTAGGTCTAGGTATTTCAGAGGAAATGTATTGCCAAGTGCTTGATGAGTAGAGACAACAGGCGTGGGTTTGAAAGTCCAGATGGTGTGGTCCCTAGCTGCATCTTTCTCAAGATTTGAGAACTTGCGCATTTGAGATCTTTTTCGCGGACTGCGCATCAGGACTCGAACTAGCGACCTTAGTTGGCCTAGCCCGCCATCCCCACTTTATCACCCACTCTATCTGGGCCATTGTGGAAGTCCGTTCGTATATCTGGCCCCTTTTCATAATACACATTGGCTCTTTTGAGTCTTTTCCCTACCTTAGCCTCAACTAATTTCAATCTGGCCCCTTGTCCCTACGTAGAGTACTTGGAGCAATGGAGATGTAATGACCTGCAAAATCACAGACTGAAAGACCCGATGGAAGGAGCAAGCACATGTGGCACTCGACAGACAATTCCAATCCAGTTCGCCGACAGTGTGGCCTGAGTAGGTGAGCAAAATCAACAGTGAAAAACGACTGTAGCAGAGATGGAAGATGGGAGAGGAGAGGGGAGAAAGAGAACTCGGATGGTGGAAGGGAGATGGCAGCAGTAAAAGACTAGAGGAGGAAGGCGAGACCACAATTGTAGCACAATCATAGGAACTTTTTCGAAGAATAAAGCACGATGCAAAAGACTCGTAACATCGACATCCCTGCGCCACGTTTTGGCCGTTCCCACAAGCGTCCATCATCAGGGGATAAAAAAAGAATGTGCTACGGAGGTAGGAGTAGGTAGGAGTAGGTAGGAGTAGGTAGGAGTGAAAGACCTGCTATTTTCTCAGTTTTGCTGCTGGACCAAGTAACTTGCTGAGATTTGCATATTGTGCTGAGATTTCTAAGTACGTGTGTGTGCATGATTGCTAAGTTTCTGTGTGTTGCCTGACTGCATGATTGCTTGTGTGTGTGTATGACCCGCCAGGGTACTTGTGCACTGGAAGGCCCAAGGGCCTGTGGCCGTGCTGTTGTGATGGTGCAGCGGGGAATTAGAAGTAGGCTAGGCCCGCGTAGGTTGAAAAACACTCAAGTAGCGGATAGGTAGGCAGAAGAAGACAAAACGTTAGTACCTTTAGAGGCCAAAGTGAATTTCAGAACTCCGGTACGCTTAGAGTCTAGGGTTATTCATTAGGGTATATATACTCATATACCGTCTATCGTATTATATCGTTTATAACGCCCATCGTCTAAAGGACAGGACAGAGATCTTCTAAATCTCTAGCATAGGTTCAAATCCTATTGGGCGTGATGAGAAAAAGGGTTCTTTCAAGTCATTTTTTTTGTAAGAGGAGATTACTTTGACCTCTCTATTGACTCAAGGAAGAATATATATACTCAGCCTCCTGATGAGTCGGTGAAACTCCGATGAAACAGTTTGTCACAGCCCCTCATTTGTTGTCCTCTTCTCCCTCTCTGCCTACGGTTTACCGGGCAGTTCTATTTGACGATATATATATATATATATATATATATATATATATATATGTCACAGCCCCTCGTTTGTTGTCCTCTTCTCCCTCTCTGCCTACGGTTTACCGGGCAGTTCTATTTGACGATATATATATACATATGAACAGAAAATAAATCTAGAGGGGAATATCAGTCTGCATCGACTCTGCAATGATGTTCCCTCCAATTCGCAGAGGTGCCGGTAGACTCGGGAGGGCGGGCGGCCTCAAAGCCAACGCACGGAGAGGCAATACTCCGGTATATCTTCACTGGAGGCAAGAGCCTCAGCCTCTTTGCAGCGGAGCAAGTTTGGTGACACGCTGCTGGAGTGAGCGCTCAGCATAGCAGCACTGGAGGGGAAGAAGGCGGGCTTGGCCCTCCACCTCTGCTATGGTGGAGAGGACGAAGGAGGCGACTCTGGGGGAGTAGGAGGACGAGGAGGAAGACAGTGAGCAAGGAGGAGAGTGACGGGGGAGCTTACCTGGCTATTGTGGTCTGCATCTTCATCCTCTTGGTTGGTGCTGCACCTGGAAGGCCCCAATTGGGGTTGGTACCTATAAGGAAGACTTCGGGGGTCGTGCTAGGCTTGGTGTCCACACTCAGAGGGACACATTAGCTTGGCGTTGTCCTTTGAACATTGGAGCTGCACTCTGAGAGTCCGCCCTAGCCACCTGCTCAACCAAGTTGAAGGAATATGTATGAGATGGCTATGGTGGACCCTTTGAGTGGCAGTAAGGGGAGTATTGGGACATCGGTTCTTGTTCATTCTTTCATTGTTGTTATGATTATTGCCGTTAATGATGAGATGGGGGAGTAATTGGAGGTTGAAGATGATGGCTAGATGAAGGGGGATTGTCACTGGTCTTTGCTGGTGTTCATCATCTTCTTCTTCTTCCATTATCATTTCTTCCTCTTCCTCTGTCTATTTCTCTTTCGAAGTTCTTTCATTTCAGTTGCATTGAATGGCATTGTCTTTCTTTGAGTTGTTGCACTGCAAGATAGCCAGGATCATAACAGGAAAGTAAGTTATTGGCCCATGAACGCTCCATTAACTATCACACATGCTCCTGTCAGGATGCACCTTGATGTCGTCAACTACTCATAAAGATCATGCACCCAACTTTCACTACCGTCCCAGTTCCTTATGACAAAAAGGAGGGTTCATAAAATTAATGGACAAGGATTTTCATGTCATAAACTTCCGGGGCATTGCAGATGTTCTCTCACAGAATAACCTAGCATCTTACAAAAGAACATAGCAACTGTGTGATAGACTGGGTGAGTACCTGACTGTCTATGGGTCTGTGGTTGGACAGGTCCTAACTCTCCAGGCACCCTTGAAGCATGGGCAGCGGCAGCTGGCTCGCTTGCAGCTGGCCTGATCAAGGGTACGGTATCCATGACATCCTCAGAAGCCGAGCACACAGAGACCCCCACCACGATGCGCAAGGGGGAGGTTGGCAAAGCGGTATCATATGGAGGACGAAGTGAATGGGGAACAGGAACAGAAGAGACTGAAGCTACTTCTCGGACCAGAGAAGCTACCCGTGCACACACCTCAAAGAATACTAGCAGGGCTGCAAACCGAAGCCAAGGAAAGACTGGGAGTCCTCCAGAGTCACCGAAGAGGCCGCATACGGGCAGAGCAGGAGGTACAGTAAATGGGGATGGTGAGACAGAAACAGCGCAGCAAGAAAACAAAGGGCATGAACTGGGTGAAAGCAAGAGGAGTGGGAGGGAGGCAAAATTCGACCTTCCAGTGGAAGAGCTTGCTGCGCAACACCACTTCGACACCAAACCTTCCAGTAAAGTAGCCAGTAAGCATACCAGCAAGGCACCCAGTGCTGCTCCTTCAAGACCAGAGACCATACGAGGTCGCAGACCTGATGATGGAACAGACGTAAGTGTGCAGAGTGATGCAACTAAGGTCAGCAGCAAGGCTCCCAGCAAGGCCACAAGCAAGGCTGTAAGCAAGGGCGTTAGTCAGAACGGCAGCAACAACAATTCACCGGTATGTGCAATGAATTCCGACTGATAGACCGGTTGATCTCTTAGAGCAGCCTGGTTAGCTGCTATCCATAATCAGTGTGATTGCTACTCTCTCTCTCTCTCTCTCTCTCTCTCTCTCTCTCTCTCTCTCTCTCTCTCTCTCTCTCTCTCTCTCTCTCT